TTTAAAGAATTTGCCACTGACGATTCAAACGCTTGTTTTTTGGGCAGTGTAGAGTATCACTTGTTGTTTGTCATTTCTCCGATCACAAATGCAGACATAGTTTTATGTTACGCTCCGGTCGGAAAGGGCATCACAGTGTGGTGTGTGTTTTTTTAACCTTAAACCGCATAAACACATTTCATTACACCAAATACACAAAATAATGTTCTTTTTAGCAGCATCATATGACCCCTTTAAGCAATGATGCAACCATTCAAGACGGGAGGGGAACAAAACTAAAAGTTGATTTTCCTGGCTTTTAGTCCACGGCTATTAGCTTCATATGTAATATACACACATTTAAAATGTATAGCCTTCAGGGACAACAGACCAAAAACTATAGATGACTCTCCAATTTTTATCCAATAATATGCTCTAGAATGTTTTAGGGATGAGCATTTCGATATGTCCTGCTCAAGCTTCCTGTTTCAAAGAGTAATACATCACCACAAGAAAGAAAACTGCAATAGACAGTAGCTATGTTTCCATCACCCTGTTTTAATGCGCATTTTGAAGTATCGCATGAGAAACGAGTGATGGAAACGGCAAATTTCGAAAAGAAATCCCTTAATCCGCAAAAAAGTTTTTACGTTCGCTTGAGGTGGTTTTTGACTCTTGGGTTAATGCGAATAATGGGAGATAGAAACGCATTTTGCGAATAAATCCCGCATGAGCATTCAAAAAAGTCATGTGACTTTGTGCTATGGGACAGCATAACCTGACTAACCAGCGGACCGATTTAGATGCACAGCATCTGAAATGTTGTCATGGTCATTCTGAAGTGCCCGAGCAAAGTCGTCAAAGTATTTCTGGATAACCGCCTCATAGAACAATCTACCACGAGTGCATTCCCAAACAGCTGGCATTCACCTCCGAAAGCAAGACCATGCGGTTATTGTGTTTCGTCTGCTCACTCAAAGTGCAAGTAATTTATTATATTTGAGAATTATTATATTCAGTGGCTTCTCTGACTTTTCTTAGTGATATTTAGTGGCAGTTTATCAGGAAGTGATGATTTTGTTCTCTCTGACTCGTTGGATGGAAACAGTGCTTTTGTTCGCTAATGTTTTATGCGATATTCCAATTTTGTGCATAAGTTAAATTCGCAACTTTGGATGGAAACCCGTCTAGTGTCATGGGGTCTTTACAAATCTGCCACTGAAAAAAAAAAACATATTGAAAAACCACTAAAGTAAATCCTCTTTCATTTTTAGTAGATATTTCAAATGATTTTTATCAGCTCACATAATTAAATGTCTATTTGATTTAAATTTACCATGAAAATAACACATTCAGATAAGATCTGTGCAAAGGTGTCGTAGTTTTATCATGGCGACAGAACCCAAACATTAATCATGATAAACACAGTCTCTGAAAATGACACGGTTAGTCAAACAGAGAGAAAGAGAGAGAGAGAGAGAGAGAGGGGAAGGGGAAGAGGAAGAAAGAAAGAAAGAGAGCGATAAGGTGTGGAGAGATGTGGTGGGTTGCTTTAGTCTCTTACCTCGGATAGGTGTACCCCCTGGATGTGTGAGAATGAAAGCAGATGGGAGATTAAAGAGAAGACGAGTTAGTGCAGTGAGGGAGAATGACAAAAAGACAGAGTGACAGAGAGAGAGAGCAAAAAGAAAGAAAACAGAAAGATAGAGGGATAAAAAAAGAAACAGCAAAAAGAAAGAGTGCAAGAAAGAGAAAGAGGGGAGGAGGGAGACTCTTCATGTCTTAAGTGCAAAGTGTATGTTGACTTTTTATGAGATGACAGAAGAGGTTGTCTTAACCGAAAAGAACTTACAATTTTCCGTAATTTAGCATGTTTTTAAAATATTGATGATTAAAAAAAGTTCACATTTTTATATTATTTAAAAATATATATATTTTCAAATATAATCAAAAACTGTTAAAAATGTACAAAAATGCTTTAAATTAATTTCAGTTTTCACAAATATAAGGCATCTGGTCTATTGCATATCCCTGTTTCAGAAACCATTTTTAACCATTCCCACACTAAACGATATGGAAGCCCGTTTCTGCCACTGAATAAAAAATAAAAAAGTTAAATGCAACTTTTTACCTCACAATTCTGACTTTTTTCTCAGAACTGCATAATATAAACTCTCACAAATGCGAGAAATATAGACTCTCAATTCTGACTTCTTTTCTCAGAATTGGGAGATATAAACTCACAATTGTGAGTTATAAAGTCCAATTTTAATTTTGAGGGGAAAAAGACTATTTTCTTACAATGCGAGTTTATATCTCGCAATTGCAAGAAAAAAGTCAGAATTGTGAGATAAAAAAGTCAAAATCACCTTTTTTAAATTTTTTATTCAGTGGCATAAAAAACATTCCATAAAAAAGGCAAATAAGGATTAGAATTAGAAATAAAGAAAAAAGGGGGAAACGTTTTACAGCACCCCTGTGAAATCTAATGAATGGTTTCAGAGCAAAACAACCGATTGCAAATGCAGTGCAGTTGAATAATTCATGATATATTGTTTATTAAACTAGATGACCAGATTACAAGACCGAAGAGTGGAATAAAAAGCCAAGAATCTGCTACTAATAAAGCTCTTAAAGATGCTGGGATATCAGTGCCACATTTAAAATACCAAGTGTTATACCAACAGAGAGAATACAACCGACAAAACATGACAGTGACAGATAGCGATTATTTGTAGCCCAACCTCTGGATGACACCACCGTTTTCTAAAAAAATAGTTCATAAAACCAGTGCAATAGAGAAAATATCTTTGAAAAATTGGAAAGAACACAGAGACTTAAGACAGGCAGACTCAAGCCCAGAGAGAGAGAGGAAAGCCCAAAAAGGCCACGGTTTTGGGTGAGAAGCCACTGTAACATTCAGCATTGGGACATTCAAACCTATCTAGGCAACAAAGTGAAAGAGAGAAAGAGAAAGAGAGAGATCTGAAAGAGTGAGGGGGTAGTGATGCAGGAAATCCAATGCCGAGGGCAGTGAGCGTTTGGAGAAGTTAAAGAGTGAGCCAGTGAAGGAGAAAACATAAGTGAGAGTGGGAGCGAGAGGCTCAGTACCACATGTTAGAGGTAAGGAGGACTGTCTACTGTACGTGACTGCTGTGTGTGAACACACTACTGTATGTGCTGACTATGTGTGTGGAGAGAGGGTGACTGTACTGTTAGGGGAAATACAATATATAGATATATCATGCGCTTTACCAATAACGACATGTTTGTTTGTTTTGTGCTTGGACGTGTGAGTGTGTGTTGTGCCTCAGGATAACACACTTACCAAATGACTCTGTAGATTAAAACACAGAAAGAGAGACAGCACATTTATCACTTAAGGTTCTCGCACAGCAAAAACAGTGTGTGTGAGAAAGGATTTAAGGCTACGGGATTTCTTTAAAGATGCACTCTAAGAGGTTTTGTGTGTACGTTTGCGGCATTGGAATTGTTGGCTGTTATGGTGTGTTTCATTGCTTGCTTGGACAATTGATTTTTCCCACTGCTATGATTTGTCTTGTGTATGTATATTGTATTATCTCCTTTTCCTTGTTTTGTTTACTTTGTACTTTTATTATTATGTTTAAGTCTAAAGTATATAGCAATGCACAATATAAACTATATACACATGTTCAAAAGTTTGGGGTGTTTTTTTTAAATGTTTTTGAAAGTGTCTCATGCTTACCAAAACTGCATTTGCTCAAAAACACAGTAATAATGTGAAATATTATTACATATTAAAATAACTGTTTTCTATTTTAATGCATTTTAAAATGTATTTTATTCCTGTGATGCAAAACTGAGTTTTCAGCATCATTACTCCAGTCTTCAGTGTCACATGATCCTTCAGAAAACATTCTAATATGCTGATTTGCTGCTCAAGAAACATTTCTGATTATTATCAAAGACAAAAATATTAGAGTTGCTTAATATTTTTGTAGAAACGGTAATACTTTTTTCAGGATTCTTTGATGAATAGAAAGTTCAAAGAAATGGCATTTATTTGAAATAAAAATGTTTTGTAATATATAAACGTCTTTGTCACTTTTGATCAATTTAATGCATCCCTGCTGAATAAAAGTATTCATTTCTTTCAAAAAATAAAATAAATAAATAAAAATCTTACTGACCCCAAACTTTTTAAACAAAAGTGTACAGTACATCAATACCACATCAATTATCCTACGCTATTAGATTTTCTTTTTAATTCAATCCAATATCAGTATTGGTTGATATTAGATATTTATGTATGAATGCTTATTTTTTTTAGCATTCATATTACCTCTGCTTTCATCTAACTCTCACTTCAAGTTAATCTTTAAAATCACTTAATTTAATAACACTGTTCAATGTAATCTCTAACAAATCAAAATGAATATCCATTTTAACAGTGTATATTATAATGTTATTATTTGTAAATTCAAACAAAATAGTATAACATTTTAATATTGGGTACTACAACATGAAAATAATTATTACCATAACGGTATGAATTTCAATATTGGTGCATCCCTAATGAATCATGTAAATGAAGTAAACATATTATCATATTATTATTATTATTAATTTATTTATTATTGCTCTTTTGTTGATTTTGATGGCTTCCATTGTCCTCATTTGTAAGTCGCTTTGGATAAAAGCGTCTGCTAAATTACTAAATGTAATGTAATTATTATCATTAATATTTGTAGCTTGTTGCAAGCATAAGCAAAACTCAGCTGGTCATGTGATCTCAACACGACATGCTCCATGTAGAACGAAACATTTTTTTAAGCTGCTGATATGACTCTTCATCTCATGTCAGTGTACATTGTTTAAAACATATATGTAAAATGTATATATAAAATGTACTATTTCTACTTTTTTAATGAGCTAAATTTGCTAAGTGCACCTTTAAACAAATGAGGAGAATAAAAGCACAGAGAGTGTGTAAATGAGCACACACACCTGAGCGTAGCTGTTTGATCCGCCCGTGAGTGTGTGTATCTATGGGGAGGAAATCTTTAAACCAGGTGATCTCAGGGTCAGGTGTTCCGCTGGCAGCACACAGCATGGTAGCGGTGCGAGAACGCTCCACCACCTTCAGCTGAGGGCCCATATCTATAGACGGGAAACCAGCGGGAAGCTGGTCCTCTGAAATAAACAAATACAAACACAAACACACATTACACTCACACCTCAGCCTTCAATGGAGGGCTTCAATCTTTACAAGGTGAAGGTGATCTTATGCAGATGTTATGCAAAATAGCACACTTTTTTCAGTCTTCATTCGTTAAGGATCTATTCTTGTAGTGCCTAAAGGTACTATTAAAAATAATTAAAAAATAACAAGGGATGCACAATATATCTAAGACTATTTTTAATGTTACAAAAAATACTCTTTAAAAAAATAAAAATAAAAAATTATATATATATATATATATATATACAGTGGGTACGGAATCTTCTTGTCTGTCTCTCCTCACTCTTCTTGTCTGTCTCACCTCACTCTTCTTGTCTGTCTCACCTCACTCTTCTTGTCTGTCTCACCTCACTCTTCTTGTCTGTCTCACCTCACTCTTCTTGTCTGTCTCACCTCACTCTTCTTGTCTGTCTCACCTCACTCTTCTTGTCAGTCAGTTGGACTCACTCTCCTCACTGGATAAATGAAATCTGATCTGTGATGCGACTGTCCTTCGGCACGCTGCATTGAGCAGCCGCGTTCAGTTTTTAATTGTAGTGTCTGTTCTTTTACTGAACTAAATGATTTTTATTACTATAAAAAATCTAAACGATGGTGGGGGTCAGTGCCGCGGTGGGCATGTGACGTAACCGGTGTTGCGGATTAACACCGGTATCACCGTTAGCACCGTCTATTGCAGCAAGCCTAATTACGATATATATAAATTTAATTATTAACACACTTTATTAACCATGTAATGTTATTACTGTTACATTTTGTTTTCTGAAATCAGAAATTATGAAATACATCACAGTTATCTTATTCTATAGACAGGTTTTGTTTTAAACGGTAAGAAATAAAAAATATTCAAATGTAAATTATTAAAAATAAAAAATATATAAAATATGATCAATTTATTACAAAGTAAATATTCTTCACATAATATTTAAATATTTATAATAATATTTTAAAATATGTAAAAAAAAAAATAATAATAACAGTACACTGAGAACATAAAAGCCAGTTGTTAGAAAGTAATATGCATTTAAAAGATGCTTAATATTTTTAATTGGTCTTTATACAAAAAATTATACAGCTATCATTATATTTTAGGAATGGGGTTTGGTGATCATCATATTTTGGGGTCTTTGGCATTAAAAAGTAAAAAAAAAAAGGTAACACTTTAGTATAGGGACCAATTCTCACTATTAACAAGTTATTAGCATGCCTATTATTAACATATTGGCTGTTTATTAGTACATATTCTGCATGACCATATTTTACACCCCTAATCCTATCCAATACCTAAACTTAACAACTACCTTACTAACTATTAATAAGCAAATTAGCAGTTTATTGAGGCAAAAGTCATAGTTAATGGTTTGTTAATAGCAGAATTGGACCTTAAAATAAAGTGTGACCAAAAAAAAATTTTTATACATAATATCCACAAAATTACCCCAAAATCAACACAGAAAATGATTAAAACTCTGTAGATTCAGAGATTCAGCGTGGGCCTATACTTGTATATTCACCATTATATTGCTTATTGGTCACTGCATGAAAACAATTATCTTCTAATTGGTATTTCCCAGAAATTCTGTCAGTGCATCTCTAAAAATAATAGTAGAGATGTCGTGTATCAAGCAAGCTTCACACACATGCACTTCAGAAGACCAAGCAAAAGCAAAGACGCTTCCAGTCAGGTCTGTACCTACCGCGGAGAACGCTGAGCCGTGTGGAGGCACTGATCTCTCCTGCTTCATTAGATGCCACACATTCATACACAGCCTCATCACGGGGGGTCCGCAGCGGCTGCACTCGCAACACGGACCCTGAACCATCCTCAAACTCTATCACCTACACACACACACAGAGAGAAATGTGTTGGTAACTCCCTGAATAGCTTGTGTGTCTTTATAGACCATGTGTATGGCATCCTTTGAGCCAGGGCAAATGTGTGAAGTTACAGGAAATGTACGAATCTCACTTTAGTAGTGTTACAACCTTGTATCGCTGCTTGCAGCTAATGTGTAAGCAAGCTGTCTGTACGGTTTGTGTTTGTGCAATTGAGATGTGTTTACCTCGAATCTCTGGTTGGTGACTTTTTTGCCTTTTCTGCTCCACGTGATTCTAGGCGGCGGATCTCCTGTGGCTTGACATACGAAGGAGGCCACGCCCCCCTGAACACCTATCTGATCAACGGGGGTCCGAGTGAACTGAGGAGGAGCTGCAGAGGAAGACAGAGATTTATAAAAGTGAAGTGACGTGTGGTCAAGTATGGTGACCCATACTCGGAATTTGTGCTCTGCATTTAACCCATCCAAGTGCACACACACAGTAGTGAACACACACACACCGTGAACATATTGCTGCGGTGCCCGGGGAGCAGTTGGGGGTTCGGTGCCTTGCTCAAGGGTCTTACCTCAGTCGTGGTATTGAAGGTGGAAGAGAGCGCTGCTTATTCACTCCCCCCACTGACAAGTCCTACCGGACCTGAGACTCGAACCCACAACCTTCGGGTTACAAGTCCAACTCTCTAACCATTAGAGGTGACCAATAATTAACTACGACTGGGTCAATGAAAGCATTGGGGCAGAATTTTCTTGAAGATGGAGAAACTCTCCTTTACTATTTAGAATCTCCATAATGAACAACAATAAATGCATCTATGCATCTTGAAGTTATACTTCTCACATAGAGTAGTTTAACTGAAAGGTTACAGGCAGGGTTTAAAATGAACAAGCACCAGATGCACTAAATATCTGGTGTATTTATATATAATAAGTTTACTTCACATACATCATGACAGTTAAGCCGATAATTATTTTCATGCTGTGGCCAAAATTAAAATTCTAAAATTAAAAAATTAAAAAAACGAAATAAAATTAAGTACTAAGTAATGCATTTCCTAAAGCTTTATGGGCCAATTGGCAAGAAATGTTTACCTGCATTTAGCACTTAATATTTTTTAAATAAAATAAAGTAAAGTAAAGTAAAGTAAAGTAAAGTAAAATAAAATAAAATGTACTTGCCAATTAGCCCATATAGTTTTAGGAACTAAAACTTTAACTGCAATATTAAATGCAGTACTAAATACTACATTTTATTTGATTTTGTTTATGATACCAGCAAAAATCATGGTAAGAAACATTTATTTTCTCAATAAACCAATCACTGGCAGGAGGGCAAATGATAGGGTCTGTAACTTAACATCTTGTGCCATAAGTGCTGTGCTTTTCAAGATGCAATGTCAAGTTAAAACCAATTCAGCTTTTACAAACACATCACGAGACCCTTGCATTCTATGCAATTCCATTCCTTTCACCCTTCCCTCCTGTATTTTTCAACGCAATAACAAATCATGTGTGAACACCCCTTTAAAAGAAAGGCATGTCTTAAAATAAGTACCACATTTTCATCCCTTGCTAAAAATGACAATAAACCTGTCTTTAAAATCATAAAACTTTTTTAAAGTCAGGCTGTGACTTCACGTGTGCATTATAATGTGCATTTCAGTTCATACGAAAGACGGAGTGAATTAACTGCAGATAAGCGGTGTGATTGATGCAGTCTGCAGTGGTTGCTAATCCACTCGATCTAAGGATGACTTCACATTAATCTGCCCAGCAGCTCTAAACTAATGGCATGTGTAACTAACCAAAGGCTCAGCTCAGGTTCAAACAGAACAATGAAGTGAGTGCGTGGGTGAATGTTCGTGTCATCACCCCAGATGATGTGCGATGAAATGACTTCATCTTCACTTTGCATGCTTTAATCTACATAGGCGCAGATAATGTTTACATAAGAAAGCCTTTGATTGCAATTACTGTTACATTTTTTTTAAATACAATTACAAAGACCAAATAGAGACCAATAAAATGATTAATCATGATCATAAAATAACTTCATAAATAATAAATCTATTTAATAAATTATTATTAATTGAAATAATTTTTTCTACATTTAAATTCTTAACAACTAGAACTCTTTCCTCTTCTACTAGAGAATAACATAATGCCCATCTGATTATCTTCTTTAATGCTTTACCGTGCATCAAATGAAAGATAAAAATCCATGTATTAAATGTTGACGTCATTTCTTTACGTAGTCAGAGTTGTCTTGTAAACACTGATCCGGACATTTGGTGCAGTGAAAGAATCAAACGCAGCATTATAATCCCTCCAACTGGTGACGATGCACGATGAAATTACTTAGCATGTTCTGAAACCTTATTTTTTAATTACATACTACATTGTAAGCTGCATTAAAGTGTGCCTTTATCCTTTGCGCTGGTTTCACGGATTTCACGAAAAGAGCCAGCAATTATTCTGAGTTTCAGAGGATTCTGCCTGTGTTTTATGCATGTTTGAAGTCTGTGTACTCACTTTGCGCATGTGCCAGCTGGAGCACGCTCAGTAGAATCAGTAGTACCAGCTGGTAGGCGCTTCTGTAGATCATGTGACCTCTGGCCATCCTCTCATTGGCTTATCTGTGGATCACCAAGCTGTAAGTGCACTCATAACCTAAAGTAAACATGTAAACAAGCAAACATATCTGTCAGTCACGTGTGTAGGCCGCAGCACGACATGAATTGATTGCATTAATCAATTAGTACTCCATGTGACTTTCTCTGAGGATCGGATCACAAATCACTGAGTGGTCAATCAATTCATGAACATATCATTTAACAGAGCCTTCACAGACAGAGAGTAGTCGAGCTTGCATTAAAGGAATAGTTCACCCAAAAATAAATCAAGTACAAATTCTAATGTTGTTCCAAACTGAACAGAGGACTGTTGAGCACCAAAACATAAGTAAATAAAAGAAACAAATAAACATGCATAAATAAAGCAGCATAAAAGAAGTCCATATGATCCGTGATAATGAATATTCAAAGTCTTCTGAAGCCATACAACTTGTTGAAACTCTTGCTGTAATTGTGACTGACATCAAAACTGGCACCATGCGTCTCATTTTTTAATGTATAAATGTTGTTTTATGGTGCAGACTGCTTTTACACCTTTATTTTTATTATTCTACATACTTCCAATTGGACAGAAGACTCCTCTGTGGTCTGTTCCGGCTCAAAGTCTTAAATCAATGCCCCGGGAGGCAGACTTTGTGCGAAAAATAGAAGTCAATTTATTGATTACATTTAGTTTCGCTAGCAGTATAAGTACTCTATCTTCAAATACTCAAAATAAGTCAAAGTACAACTATTAAAAACAATTTAAATCCAGGCAATATCAGCGATGGCTCTTCAGGTGATCATGAAACAGCATTTGATGTCACTGTCGTCGTCACGGATATTTAAAGATAAATTAGTGACCTCCCCATATGGGAGACTTTAAAAAGGCCTGTTTTATAAGTTCTCCCCTGCATTTGGCGAGCTCCACTCCTCTCGACTGCATCACTTTTCATCCACACAACAGACTTCCTGCATACTACTTATAAAGTTGCTCTAATACGTGTTTTCTTCTCTGCTTTGAGCATAAATATGTCATCTCAAAATCAGCCTTGTACAGCCACTTCTGCAAACACAAATAACTCTGCAATGCTCTCCAGCCTAACACTCACAGTACTACTGAGTGAATACTATGAACATCATACAAATATTATATTCACACAAATAAAATACATGTGCAACAGTTACATCATTGCCCATATAAGGCCTTTCCAGGGAATAAACAAAATAATAAACCATCATACATAATATATCAGCTAACTACGTTGAAACAATGAGGCAGGGTAATTGTATTCTTATGCATATTATACAACAATGTAAATGACACTAACAGCTGCACCAGAGGGAAAGATTTTTAAATAATCACTCTCTTATTCACAGAAAACTATCGTATGGCTTCAGAATATTTTAAGTATAATGCAAAACTATGTGTGGATTAATTTTATAGTTCTGCAAAACATCTCCTCTGTTTTACCAGAAAAAAGAAAAGAAAACCACCATTCAAAAGTTTGGGGTCAATAAATGTTTTTGAAAGCAATAATACTTTTATTCAGCAAAAATGCATTAAATTGATCAAAAGTGACAGTAAATACATTTATACAATAGATTGCATAAATGCATTGCATTTCTGTTCAGCAGAGAATCCTGAAAAAAAATGTCTTACAGTTTCCACAAAAATATTAAGCAGAACAGCTCTTTTCAATGCTGATAATAATAATAAGAAAAAAAAGGTTTCTTAAAGACACAAATCAGTATTAGACTGATACTAAGTACTGGCTGAAGTACTGGCTGCTGAAAATTCAACTTTGCATCACAGGAATACATAACATTTGACAATATTTTACCATACAAACCAATATATTGCAGTAGAATTTCACAGTATTAATGCAGCCTTGGTGAGCAAATGAGACTTCTTCCAAAAACATTTTAAAAATCTTACAGAACCCAAACCTTTTAACGGTACTGTACGTGTTTGGAATGGCATGAATAAATAATTTTCATCTAATCATTTAATTTACTTCAGAATATTGTCGGTTATTGTATTAGTACTAAACATTGCGATAAACTGTCACAATATCACTTTGGACTATGATTCAGTTTGCACATTTTGCCTGTTGTGTTGGTTGTCATGGTTATTGGTTTGATTTTGCCCTTTAGTTCAGGTGTGTGTCATTAATTATCCTTGTTTGCACATGTACTTAAGTTGCTCTGTTTCTGTTCATTGTGGTGGGTTCTTGTCTGCATTAGTTGTGTCACAGCTGTTTTCTTTATGTGGATTACTTGCCTGTGGATTTATTAAAGACTGTCTTCATCGTGTTCGTTCTACAGCCCTGCTGCGTGATAAACGTTACAACAATCTGCCATTACACACACTTTACAGCTGTCAGCTGAGTTAGCGAAAAAGTTTTATGAGGGGAAAGTTCAAAAAAGGAAAAGCTGACAGTAGGACGAACAAAAACCGATAACAACTGTCCTGGTTATAGCAAACGTGGGAAGAAAAATCATTTAAAAGTTATACAGAGTTCAGATTATAACTGTAAAACTTTAAGTATAAAAACAGCATGGAATATATGATAATTTGAGACAGCTCCTAAAGGCCTCTCTCTCCAGCAGGCTGGAAAACTTTACCGTAAACTCAATAATTATAACATTCAGCCCATAAATGTATAATGTATCTTACTTCTGCAAATATAACGAAGAGAATGAGAGAGAGAGAAAGGGAGAGGGAGAAAGAGTTGGGTGGGCAGTTGAACTGCACTAAGTAAAAGTTGCATTAAATATGGATGCTGTGCATGGGAGATTGCCACAGATGGGGGGGCGTGTTGGGAATCGCTATGGTAACTCTGCCCCCACGAGCACCATGCTTGTCACATCACATCACATCATTAAGAGAGAGAGTGGTTGCAGACCCCCTCATCCGTGCTGCCTCCCCCGTGTCCTATCCATATTTAATTCCTCCACTGCTCTCTGAGGCTTCCTTCACTTTTACAGCACTGAGAGAGAGAAAAGACCACACGTGTCACTTCCTGCAAAGAATCATGATGATGTAGGAAACGGGGAACGGCGGCACGTACAAACCCCAAATGTATGCGTATTTCCACATGTGTCCTGCGGAGGAAATGGGTCAGTCTGATCTCTGACTCATGTAAAACTGAAGCCCTTCAAACCCCTAAACCTACACACACACACACACCATCTGCCTCATTTGGAAAACACTCCACAGCAGCTTTACACAATCCCTAATACACATTATTATCAGGAAAATACGTAGATGTGCACAAGGCATACGCAGACGCAAAAATACACTGAGTATATCCACTAAAATACGTTACATCTAAAGCCCTATATTCACACGGGATTAGTATTATCTGGGGACCTTGTTGGATTTTGAAATTACCCCCCCACATCTGAATTCCGTGTGGTGCATTCGCACGGGATAAGCGAAGCCTGTGATTTTACTCGAATTGACTGACTTATCTCCCAGATACCCGGATGTCAAGGCTTTGAGAGTCCCGTTTATGGTCCAGATGGATTTTTTAAAAATAAACTAATATAGTTTTGTGCGCTGTGTCATTTACATTTCACCAGGTTAAAATAATATATCAAGCTCTGTGCTTGATTTATTTGTAACACATTAACCTCAAAACCTTTTCAGCTTTCTCTTTCTGCAAATTGTATGAGCGATATGATGACAGCACCCAAAATACTATCAAACACTCCAACGCAGCTCCATTCTTCGCGGAAGATGGATAAAAAGGCGCACAGCAAACAAAAACCTCGAAAAATGATATACAGCCTGCCAAATGCTGGCCGAATCATCAAGAGATGCCGATTCGCACGGGACTAATATTATCACAGGACCTCGGTGTTCGGCGAAATATGGTAGGTCATTTGCGGGGGAATTTTTACTTTACAAATTACAGACATGGCCGATTCGCACGGGATTAAGATCACAGACAACCTCCGCAATTATTACAAATGACTGGAGGTCACCAGGTAATACTAATCCCGTGTGAATAGGGCTAAAGTCAAAGTCTACTTTATTGTCAATTCTGCCACATGTACAGCATATACATACAGAGAATTGAAATTGCGTTACTCTCAGACCCTTGGTGCATATAGTTAACACTTAACACTAACAGTAGACATAATACAGATTACAGGGGGGTCATAATACATAATACATAATACAGGGGGGTCAGAGCTCAGAGGTGCGTAGGGCAAAAGGGAGGAGGGGAGGGGGGGGCAAGGT